ATACACTCCGTCAGTACTGCAAAATAAATCGGATCAGTTGCCAGCGCTGATCCAAGCTAATGTGAAAGACTTTTTTGAGCAGGTCAAAAGTATTTGTTACCAAGATGGCCTTAAATCAAGGAAAATTACTGAAGCAATTGTGAAATATATTATAATGGACAAGAAGCCGTTTTCCACTGTAGAAGGAAAAGGTTTTCTGCAGATGATGAAAGAACTGATTCCGCTTTTTAAAGTTCCAAGTAGAGAAACAATAAAATTACGAGTGGATGAAAAATATGTAGCGCTGTCTTCAATTTTCAAACAGTATATTCGTAAGTGCGACAGTTATTGCTTAACGTATAACATATGGACGGAGACCATGAAAAATCAGTCATTCCTTGGGGTAACAATTAATTTTTTGGACAATTTACGTTTGTTGAGTGAGACATTAGGCGTAATCGAACTGCACGAAAGTCATACAGCAGCTTATTTAGAAGAAACTATGTTTAAACTTTTCAACGAGTGCAAGGTTTCCAAAAATAAAGTTTCTGCTTGTGTAACTGATAATAATTCAACCATGATAAAATTAAATGGAAGCTTGTTTGGCGAAAAAATAATAATACCCGGCTTCGCACACACGCTTAATTTGGTTGTAACGCAATCAATAGATAAGTCCACGGAAGTATCAGCTTTGATAACTAAGGTGCGCGACATTGTTAAGTTTATTAAAAGATAAATAGCGGAGTAAACCAATATACACCGGGGCTTCTACAAGTAATATCAAGGAAATGTTTCTTGACGTAAGAACGCGATGGAATTCATGTTTTTATATGTTAGAGACATTTGTCCAGTTAGCCCCTATTTTAAGTGACGTACTGCTCACTCGCCGAGAAGCACCCTCTATGGTTAATGCCTCCGAGCTGAACAATATTAAGGAGGTGATTGAATTATTAAAGTGTTTTGAAATTGTGTCCACAGAGATTTCGGCTAATAAGTACATTACCGTTAGCAAGGTTATACCGTTAGTAAGCTGTTTAACTGAAGCTCTGACAAAAATTTCAGCTCAAGGCGCTATTGTAGGGGAGCTAAAAAGTGAACTGCAAATGAACATGAATAAGAAATTTGACAAACTTGAATTTAATTCAGCTCTGGCGTTGGTTACTGTATTGGATCCGAGATTCAAATTTCTGCTTTTTAAGGATGCACTGCCTAAAAACAAAACAGTTTTGAATTTAAAGAGTTTCATAAAGAATTCAAATAATGGCGTTAGTACGTCGGAATTTTCGGATGAGAACAGAAAACCCGTTTGATATTTGGAGCCATCATAAACAGTTGGCCCACCAAAATATGAAATGTAAGTTTTCCAATTTATCTGCTATTAGAACAACGGAAGTTGAAGTGCAAATGTATCTTGGATCAGCTGTTGCTTCCGTCAATCAGAATCCAACAGAAATGTGGGATGATATAAAAAATGTAGTAATACACTAACAATACAGGAATTGTATAAATAAGCTTCCAAATATTTGTCCATTGTGGCCACATCAGTCCCTAGGGAACGACTGTTTTCTAAAGCTGGAGCAAAGAAATCGCTTGACAGGAAAATTGTTATTTTTAAATTCTGTTTTAAATAAATAATTTGTTGTTTGTGCAAAAACTATTTATATCTTTCATTTATTGAGAAAAGGTTTTAATAGGTAGCTAAAATATATATCAATTAAAAGCGTACTACTGTATTTCACTTATTTATGGTTCTGAAATAAGCTTTTTATGCTCACTAATAAAATACGTTAGAAAGTTCAAAAATGTGATGATGTTTCAATGGCCGATGTTGTTTGAAAAAACATGGATAAATTGAACCATCGATGTTTGCATCCCTATAAACGAGGCGAAAACATATGAACACATATGAGTCCAAAAACATAAGAGCGCGGATGAATTTTGTTAAAGAACATTGAGAAAAGAAAGTAAAATTTTTTGGGAAGAGTATTGAATCTGACGGCAAACCATTTGTTTGATTATTTTGTTAGCTGTATGGTATGTAGCACCATCTTGTTTGAAATAAACGTCGTCCATATCAACATCCACCTATTCTGGCACAAAAAAATCTATAATCATGGTTCTATGGCGTTCCCTATTGACTGTAACATTATGACCGAATTTTTTAAAGAAATATGAACCAAAGATTTCCTCTACCGATAGAGCACACTATGTATGTATATGCTAGAGTGATTTTTTGTGAATGATAGGGTGCCCTTTCAACCGAAAGCCAGCTTCATTACAGAACAAAATTTTCTTGTGAAACTCAGAATCGGTGGTCATATCATTTTGGACCCATTCATCGAACGTGCGACGCGGTTGTCGGTCGGTTGGCTTCAATTCTTGTTGAATTTTGTAAGCCTGCAAATAAGGATATTTACGTAAAATGTTCGATAAAGAGGGTGAGCACAGCTCCAGCCGATGCGTGCGACAACAGGTTGACTTATTTGGTTGCTTTACTATACTTTGCTCCACAGAAGCGCTAGCGTCTTAGGAGCGCACATACTGTATAATGCGCTCTGAGGGTGCACATTATCTCTTAAAGTAAACGTGATGCGAAACTGATCCTTGGTTGCTCGAATTATGTACTCCGGACGACTATTTCGACCGAATACTGGATGCAGCGCGCAATACGTCGCGAACCATTATTTTGGTAACCAATTTGCCGGGTTTTCGGAAATTGTCCCGGACTGAGTCAGTCTGTTATAAATGTTATTCATTATACAAAGTATTGCCTCATTGATAACCAAAAGTCAAAACAAGCAAGGAAGGGCTAAGTTAGGGTGTTTCCGAACCGTTTATACTCTTGCAACGTACCTACTAAAAACAAAGACCGGGAAAGTCATTCAGCTTTAACAACCAAAGGATTGGAATGCAAGTAATTACATATTGTACTAGTGTGATTTTGTCCATTTCATCTCAAATTTTATTGTAATCTCCTCCCGCTGCAACTCACTTATGCCAACGAATTTTCCAGACATTATAGCACTTAGAAAAGTCCTCCGTCGTGATAGCCATCAGAGCATTCTTCGATTTAGCTTTTATATCCTCAATTGAGTCGAAACGGTGTCCTCGGAGTAGTCATGTGAGTTTGCTGAATAGCCAGATGTTACACGAAGTTAAATATGCGGTGATTGCGGCTAGGTATGGTAAACTCGATTCCGGTTCTACTCGAGAATCCAGTTTTCTCGTAAAATAATCGATTTTTCGGAATCGATCTTCAGTAGTCGAAGTCGATTAAGAATCGATTCTTGACATTCGACTTTACTATTAATTAAGTGACTAGTTTCAAAATATACATACCTCAGTATATACAGTAATAAACCTTTGTTTTGTTTGCATACATATACTCAACTTTTTTTTTGCTACTTTCATGGTAATTAGGGTGTTGTGTTAGCATTTAAGCTACAAATAAATTTTAAATATGCTTCTGTTTTTAAGATCTGTCTCGGAAAATGTATGGTTTTCTTAAACTGACAATTAGCTTATTGTTCTTTTACTTATTTTAAATTTATTTAAAAACTTGTTTTATTAAACTCGTTTAAGCAACTAGAATTTTGAAAAAAAAAAATTTATATGAAATGTAGTGTTCTTGGTACATTATTTGTAGACCAAAAAATATAATTGTTTTTACCTTTTTTAGTGTTTTAATTGATATTAATAAATACATTTTTGTCCTTTTAATTTAAAATCGATTCTTGCGCTCGATTAATCGATTCTCAGAATCGAAAAATATAAAAAAATAATCGGAATCGAGAATCGATCCTTCAAACAATCTATCCATCCCTAGTTGCAGATTAGTTGAAAATGTGGCGAAATGATCACGAATAACCAATGCAGATGAGATGGTTCTTTGTTCACTAAATGCAGACAAAATCGAAGAATTCATTTTTAGAGCCTTACAAAACGACGCGTATCTCAAATACTAACAAATGTTTTGACGTGAAATTTAGCATAGATGTCACTAACAGTACTACCAACTTACAGAAAAAAATTTAATGCGATGCCCTGTGCCTTATTACGACTCAAGATACAGTTTACAGACGAACAAACAGATAGACAGATATGCGGATTTCAACTCGTCGAGTCGACCTAATCGACAATGCTGAAATGGAGCCTAAAACCGAAGATTTAAATGTAATTGCAATGTTTTTTCCTCCAAATGTTATACCACTTATGCAACCAAGGGATCATACTGAAAGAAAATATGAACTCAGACGTTCAGCAACAAATGGAGTTTGCAGTTGAACTGTTTAATAAACTAAACCATCAGGTTTGCCGATTTTGTAAATTGTTTCAACAACACGGCAGGTAATTTTTAATTTTAATTCTTTAGGTTGTACTGTATAGACAACCATACATTCAGGAGTGGAATGAGATATTTTGCTGGACAATGTTTTTAATTAGTGTGAATTTGAGGAGTTAGAAGTGCTTAGAAGCAAATATGCAGAAAAACCAAGCGAATCTATCGAAATATTAAACAGGGCGTTGGATTGTACTCAATGCATTAAGACGTTTAAGATAGAAGGCTCTCTTCCAAGTGTTGGAAAGAAAAAAAAAGGCGAAAAATGCATGTACAATTAAAAATATGATCCCGTTTTAAATGTAATCTTTTGGTTCTAGTTGTCCATCTCGATTAGTTTTAGATGACACAAACAACTGTTAGGTGAACTAGACTATTATTCTCTGTAGACACACATAATCTGCCGAATTCAAGAGCATATAAAGTAAATCTACGGAAACAGAGGAGGGTTGCTTAAAGAAATAACTATTATATGTGCGGAATGCAGCCGTAATATACTCCGTACAAACATTACGACTAGATTTTAGTATAAACTCAAACATCAGAAGTACATACGATTTTTTCTCTCATTATAAAGTCGTCATCGCCTACAATTATGTTTTATTACATCCTAAGATACTCTTAGCTTTCTTGTCGATTGGTAATCAGTATGTTTTGATATGTGAACGGAGGTACAAGTATACTAAGTGTACCGCGGCGGTGCGTGAAAACGAAAACAAACATAAACGATATTGTGAAAAAGCTAACAAACCACATAAAAGGGGACTAACGAGATCTTTGCAAAATAGTTTCAATGATATAAAAATTAAAGCCAGGATATTATAATCGAAACCCTAAGCTAAAAAATTTACTATAGCTTTCCAAAGCGAACGAATTCTAGTCGAAAAATGGCGGACCACAAAGAAAGTGGTGGACTCGATATACACAAAGGTATTGGCATATCTTTTGAACAACTCAGATTCGATACTGAGGGGAATTGCTTACCACCTGCTTATATGGCAACCACCAATCCGAACGAGAAAGAACATACAGATGAGGGCTTCTCAGCGAAAGACCCGCTTAAACCAGGGTCAAAGTCTAAAGTGCGTAGGCGCATTTTATTTTTAGAATTGCCGGTATTTCTGATATTTTTCTCGATCATTTTATCGGACTCGGTTATGTTGAATCAAGAACTTTATCAAACTTGTGTCGCCGTCTATCACTACAATGAGACAGATTGTGAACCACTGCGCGGTATTATCCCCAAAACTGACGTGGCAAAGGTAAGAAATGATCAAAAAATTATATCGGGAATGAGTATAAAGCTTCAATACAACAACAATGTAGGACTTACATCTTATCTTGTTTGTGTGCGGAATGTTTTGAATACATTGTCGATTAAGTGGCGCTCAGATATGAAATCATTAGTCTATAACTGCGGCGTTCAGTTTTTATTAAAACGTTCTTATCGACTATATGATTACAAGTATTTTCGTTTATTTCTTTTGTTCGCTTATCTAAACCATGAATGATTTTGCTAATCACGATGATAATGCAATGTGTTGACTTGAAGTCACGAAAATTTCAAAAAAAAAAAAAAAAATCATTTCCAAAGTTATAGTTGTTTGTGTTGACCCAGTTACAAATAAAGTTACTTACGGTGACAACCATATGTCCCTGGAGATTTATTTAAAATCAATTGGACAAAAAAAAAAATGTTTTGTAAATAGATAATCCTGCGCCTGATCGAAGGATTTTTTTTTTTTTTTCAAAAATTAATAAAATGGCGGCCTCAGGGAATTTTTATCTAAATGTTTGAGAAAAAGTCAACAGTTAATTGGTTTAAAAAAAAATCGAGATTTTTGAAAAAAAAATCCTTCGATCAGGCCCAAGTTTATTATGTATTCTAAAAGCTGTATAAATTTCATTAAAATCTACTGAGCGATTTTCGAGTTACAGTTGTCACTAGTTCAAAAAACATAGTTTTGAGAAAAACGCGTTTAAAGTTTCACCCGAGCGCTTTGAAGTGCCCGAGCTCTCTTTGTTATTTTAATTATAATATTTATGTAAAGGGAGAAAATTTTTAGGTGTATGATTTTCAATGAGGCAATAGTTTTTCGGAGTTGGTCTCTTTGACAGGTGTTACTTAGTTTATACTCAGTTTAGTCTGTAGGATCATTAGTTCATAGAGGGTTTGTCCAGAGAGTAATAGGACTGATTTTTTTCCGTCACGACTGTACTTAAGAGCATGCGCGCACCGACTGTATTCGGTAGAGGGCGTTACTAGCTAACGAACGAGAGGCTGGTTCGTAGTCTCAGAGCACCTGGAGAGTAAGGACAAACATTTACGCACGAAATGTTTCTGTGAGTGGTACAAGCCGAAAATGCAGCGTTCATTAGAGCAGAGTTACGCGATTAAATTCTGTGTGAAATTCGATAAATCTGCAACAGAGAAGTTTGATATGATCAAGCAGGCTTACCCAGATGTTGCTTCAGCCAGAAGTGACGTGTTTTGGTGGCACCAGGCCTTTTTGGAGGGCCGGGAAGAGGTCGCTTATGAAGACCGGAAGAATGAACAAATCCTGAGTGAAAACGATGCTCATTGACTTTTTTGACAACAAAGCCATCGTTCACCATGAATTTGTTTCTTCTGGACAAACCGTCAACGCTAAGTTTTACGAGGAAGTCCTCAAGAGACTCAAACGAAAGGCCAATGGGGTCCGACAAAACATTGCAGCTAATTGGAAGTTGCACCACGACAACGCGCCGGCTCACACCGTCTTTCTTGTGAACAGCTACCTAACCAAAGCCGACATCCGAACGCTTTCGCTGCCGACCTACAGCCCAAATGTGCACCCACGAACTTTTCGAAAAACCTAATATTACGAAAAGGTTGCGTACCGCACTATTGATCGTTTACTTCGAACGTATTCATTTGTGACAAAAAACAGAAACTTATGTCAAGGGAAATGGGTATATCGGAGAGATTTATGTTAAGACTTATTCCAGATGATCTCCACATAAAAGCCTACTATTGGTCACCTCGTAGTCTTCGGACAACTCGCTAGAAGCAAAAATTACAGTTGAAGAAATGTTCACTTTTGAAAAAGTTTTTAATAAGCAAAACAACAAGTTCCAAATCCGTTACCAACATCCAGCTGTCATAATGACTGTAATAATTTATGTGAATGGAGCTATGTGTTCACGCAAATGAGGAAAGTTCTCTGAACGTCATTCACTTGGGAGTGGTCATAAACAACGATTTCCGGTTTTAGACCAAGAATGGGTAACCAAAAAACATCCGTTTAAAGCCGAGCTAAAGTAAGAAGTCGAAACAGCCATCCCCAGGGTTGTGCGCTGAGTTTGGGATACGAGAACTTTAAAATGAAAATGTGACACAACTTCAATTCTGACTCTGTGTTGAAACATCCCCAAATGAATTGAGGCTGATCGACTTCACCGTGGCTTGAAATATGGGTATATTTCAGCATAGGAAATTTTATCAAGCTGGGTGTCTTCGGATCGAAAAACCATCTACCATATCGATCATATTTTGACAGACGGAAGGCACGTCTCCAGTGATTTAGACGTACGTACGATCCAATGTAATAGCACTGACTCGGCCGACTATCTTATTGCAGCGAAGATACGCATCTGGCTCTGTATAGCAAAGAACGCGCGTCAACAAATACTTGGAAGGTTCGACGACGCGAAGCTGCAGTCACAACAGACAGCCAAACGCTTTTCTGTTCGACTTGCCCTCCTGCACTCATCAGCGAATCGGTATAAAGAAACTGTGAGACGGCATTTAAAGCTCTTTCCGCACGGCTGCAAACGGCTTTAGGAAAGTGCAACAGAACAGCTAGAGTACCGTGTCGCTGTTGAAGAGGGAAGCGAGACACATTTGCAGACAAAAAGAGAGAGAAACCAAAATGCGTGAATACGAAGGGCTTGACAAGCTGGTCGCCACGGGTGAAAGATATAAATTATGGTCCTTTGCGACAACATTGACATAGCTCAGCGAATTAAGAGGCAGCGGCTACGTTGGCTAGGTCATATCGTCCGAATGAATGAAAATGCTCCAGCTCTGCGAGTACCGTTACACTGGAATAAAAGTGTACCAGCAGGATGTTATATAAGGCAATATTAACTTTGATGGAGAGCATTGGAAAGATTCTGCTACAGCACAGAAAGCAAACCCCACTTAGCAGTGGCTTAGAAACAAAATTATGGAAATTAAAATTTGAATTCATTGGACTAAAGCTTGTGGTCAGGGTTAGAGAACATGACCTGTAGAAATTTGTGCGAAGAAAAAGATTACCATTTCGTATAAAATTGTGCAAGTCACTCATTTATTATATATATTTTTAAATAAAATTATCTCAATTAAAAAATGTACCATAGTTTCATTTTTATAACAGCCTGAACTTTTAACAGAACTTACTTTACATTTTTTTGAAACATTATACAATCTAAACTTTATATTTTTCAGATAATCGAGAAAAGTATACAACCTTATGTTGCCAAAATTACTATGGTCAGCTCTATATTGAATAATGTATGGCCGGGAATTCTAATACTATTTGTGGGACCCTGGTCGGATAAGTTCGGACGTCGACCCGTGTTGTTGGCCACCTTTACCGGTAATATCAAAAAACAAAAATAGCCATTTTGGAAAAAGATTTTAATAATTCAATTTAATTAAATAGCTACGTTTCTTGGACAGGTTATAACCATGATCTTATTTAGCTTTTCTCAAGTTCTATCACTAAATCCCTGGTTCTATCTCTTGGCTAGTATACCGTCTATGCTCGTTGGCGGCGCCTCCGCTATAATAACAATTGTGTTCTGTTACATATCTGATGTAACAGATATGGAAAATAAAGCAAAGCGGTGAGTAGACGAAAATGACATGGAACCCTATGATTTTACTGACTTTATTATTTTATTATTTTAGAATGTTCTTCATAAATATGTCAATGGGTGTGGGTGTAGTAATTGGCAATATAGGTAGTAGTTACTTGTTGCGTCTAACAAATACCACAATAGTCTGCGCTGTATCAGCTGCACTCGTATTCATCGCTTTGATGTATGTTTGGTTTTTCATTGGCGAGAGTTTAGACGTCGAAGAAACCACCTTTACGGTGAGTAACAAAGCCGTTTATTAATTTCAAATATTAATTTTTTACTTTCTGCCTTACTTATATTTTTTAGCATAAAGCAAAACACTTTTTTGATGTGCGTTTAATCAAAGATCTTGTGAAGACTTGTACGATACGGCGTCCGAATTATGGACGAGCCATCATTGCTTGTACAATTTCAATTTTGATTGTGTCAAATTTCGCTTTTAGTGAGTAGAGAATGCGTATTTTAGACATACATAAATACTAAATGTAGGGTTAAAAATATTTACGTAAAAGCTAGATTTATGTTTTATTCCAATTATGCGTTTAAGAATTACAATTTTCACATTTTTTTTTTTTTTCATTTTTTGGGTGATAGTTCTTCCAGTAAAAGAAGAGGGATCCTTTTATGATCGCCTTGCAATAATAATTTGAAATAATATCCATTGGGTTTAAATTTTCTTCTTTGTATAGCTTTTTTCCGATCGATCGATTAGATGGTGGTCAATGAGCCCTTTACTGATACTTTATGATGTCAATGACCTCGTTGTTTACATTTTATGAGATGACTAACCTTATTTTTACATTTAGCCGAGTCAACAATCTTTGTTTACATTTAGCCAAGTCAACATTTCTGATCACTGATTCTGCTGTTCACATTCCATGGATCCTTTTGTTTACATATGATGAGGTCATGGACTCTTTAGTTTACATTTTAGGGGTCACAGACCTTTGTGTATATTTAGCTAAGTTCACAACGTTGCTCACATTTAGCCAAGTCAACAACCTTTGCTTACACTTGCGGTCACGAAGGCTTTTGTTTACATTTTATACGGTGAATAAGTAGAGCAAAATAGATGAAAATCTACAACCAAATGCAGAATATCGTAACTGATATGCTAAAATTATGACAAAACAAAAACTAAAGACTTATTATATACATAGGTCCAGGAAAAGTATGTACAGGCGTGTGTGTTACAAAACATGCGCTAAAAGGGCTATGCCCTACAATAGTACGCACCGTAACAAACTCGAAAGGAGGACTATCACAAAACCAAAAATCGGATTTTTGGAATTTATCAAATCTCAAACCTTGAATGTGTATCAACAAAAAGCAAGAGCAGGAGATAAGTAGTTTCATTGATGGCACCAAATGGTTTGAGTACAGCAATGAAACGTGATATTAAGATAGTAAGACTGAACTGAACGATATAAGCATAGGTTAATGTTGTTGTAAAGATTAGTCAACCCAGCTTTTGGGGAAAGCATTAAGTTAACTGTCACCGAAATCACTTAACGGTAAGCCCAGTTAGTTGAGCTGAGAATTTTGTCCGCATATTGTTATATACTATATAGTTCATTGATATGTTGAAGGAATGCCTTCCTGATGTTCCTAGGAGGTGGCTCCGCTTCAAGCAGATGCCTACACGGATGGTTTCTGTGAAAACATATCAGCAGAACTTGATTGAAGAGATATTATGCTACTTTTTAGGAAACATGTGGGCTTCTCTAGAAGGATGTTCGATGGGAGACATCAACACTTCCTGTTATAGTACGGAGTAAGGTATTCTAATCGATCTTTATCTCCTTCTCGGTCGCCATCTGCGTTCTGCTGCATCCCGGTGACCATATTGGGGCAGCGTAATTAATGCCCAGCCGGCTGATTGTCTGGTATTTTGCTAACAATGTCTCTTTGGGGTTTGTTTAAACTTTTTAATTTTTCCAACAAATTTAACATGGGTAATAGTCCAAAGCATATACTTAGCTGCCACACAAACTGACCGATCAAAATCTAATTCTTGTAAGACATATTTGGTATATGTGAAGCGTATTATAGCTTTTTGGTTTTTTTTTCAATCCGATATTGGGACTCTAATCAGACTAATTAATTAATTAAGATTTTCGGGAATCAAAAAATTGCTATCTGAAAAATTTATTCAATTTTTGGAAACCCTGCATTTGGGTATTATTTAATATGTGATATATACAATCGAATACATTTCATATATTCAAACATGCAGTGGGAGAACTCGGCGTCTTCTATCTATTCTTGCGCAACAAGTTCAACACTACCTTGGAAGAGTTTACCTACTACAATGCTGTTGACATCACAATTAAAATGATGGGTAGTGCGGTTGCTTTCGGCCTGTTCAGAAATGTAAATTATACGAATGAACATTTTTATTGCACTTATAATAATTATTTTATTTTAGTTCTTAAAAATATCATTTTCGGGGATTGCTTTAATGGGCTTATTTGGTTGTATTTTGGACAGTCTAATTCGTGGTTTGGCTCAGCAGTTCTGGCAAATGTATATGGCCTCATCCTTTGGACTAATGGCCGGCATATTGGGCCCAATGTTGCAATCAATCGTTTCATTAGCAGTGTCACCAAATGAAATTGGTATAAAATCACAGAAAACTTTGAAAAACAATAGAGATGTTCTAACAAGTTGTTCCACATCTTTTTAGGGAAAATTTATTCGGTGGCGTCATGTCTGCAAACACTTTCAYCATTGCTTTCTGCGCCTCTMTATACACTCGTCTACAATRGTACCTTGGACTTTTATCCTGGACTCTATAATTTTATCAGCACAGGATTGCATGTGGAGTGCTTCTGCGTTATGATGTAAGTTAGAAAAGATATTTTCGCATTCTTTAACGTTTATTATGTAATATTTGCATATACTAATATAATTACATCTGTTCTTCAAAATAGACTTATTTACATTTTCGAACGACGAGTGAAAAATAGAGAAGCTGAGAGACCTCCAACAGATAGTACAACAACTCAAAAGACATAACAAACTCAGATATTTTAAAATATTTTTTAAAAGGTGATTACTGATATTTTATACGTATTAATTAGTAATTCTTTATAACTTAAGTTTGTAAAATAGTTTGAGTTATTAAGAAACCAGTATTGTACTTAAATTGATTATATACAGCATACGCCAAAATTAATAAATTATTATACCAATACAACAATCGACAAGTTGACAATTTCACGTTTTGGGCCAGTCGATTTGCCGCCAAGATCATGTGATATCACACCATTAGAATTTTTTCTGTGAGGATATGTCTAAAGTTTATACGAGCACTCCCGCTTCTATTCAAGTCTTGGAACAAAACAACACGCATTTCATTCGCCAGTTAACAGTCGAAAAGCTCGAACGGCTAATCAAAAATTGGACTTAACGGATGGATAAAATTGAAGTCTCTGTGTTTTTTCTTTAGAGAGAAGTAGGAAACCTCGAAATAGATCATCATTTAGTTTCGCGGAGACAATCTCATGATGCGTTTAGCTACAATAAAATCATTTGATCGGGTTTTATAGATTAAAAGGATTTTGGACTTCTGCCGCCATTCATGTGAAACAACAGAACTTAATTTCAGCTTAGTAATAATGCTATCGATATCTACTTCACCAAAACGTCCATTATACCTATAGGGTTAACGAACGAAGCCTTTCTTTACTCGTTTTCAAGACTTATTTTTACCAAGTTTCATAGCTTGATCTAAATTTAAAAATCTCAGAAACAAAAGGTAGTAATCGAACAAAGTGAGTTTATGAACCAGCCGAAGGGCTTAAAAGGTTGAAAATATTATAAAAAACTTAACTGCTTCCATCATTATCTGACAATTATGTTCTGTCATGGACGACGTTATTATTAATAGTATGGTCTGGCCACGGAAAAACCCAATAGGCCGCTCCTGCGGAATTCAAAAAAAATTTTGGAAACATTTAAAGTTTTATTTTTTTTTCAAGCACTCAGAACAGTAATAAATCCAGTGTGTAAGCCATTTTTCCAAATTGCTTGGTTTTTTTTAACGTCTTCATCCAAAAAACTAAGCATCGTTGAGACGCCTAGTCTCAGTCGTACAAGTCTACTGAATACGCTATACTCAAATAACTGCAGCTATAATCTCTTCTAGAAGATTTAAAAGAATCAGCCTTGAGGTTTTTTCGATAGGCTCAGTAACAACTACATATGTTAAACGATTATTCGGGCCTAAGAAAAGTGCACGATTGGTTCCAAAGTCACTCACACAAATTTTTTCGAAAATCAGCGTCGCGATAACATCGGTGAAACAATGCTTTCCGATTACCAGGAATGTCATGAAACGTTTTACTACTGACGATGAGTCTTGGGACTATGCTTACGACCTGGAAACAGGCGACCAATCTGCCGAACATTGTAGCAAAGATGAGCCGAAGCCGAAAAATTACGCCAAAGCAGCAATAAAATCAAGGTTATATTGACAGTTTTCCCCGATTACGGAGGAGTGGTGCACTCTGAATTCCTGCGACTGGCCGAACAGTCAACAAGGAATACTATTTGAGTGTTATGCGTCGTTTACGCGAAGCTATTCGTAAAAAGAGAACGGAATTATGGGCCGACAACGCTTGGTTTTTGCAACACGATGCACCGTCTGCATTGATTCTGCGTGAGTTTTTCGCCAAATTTCCAACCAATATCGTACCGCAACCACAGTATTGGCCTGATTTAGCTAGGTGTGACTTCTGGCTATTTAAAAAAGAAACTAACACGACTGCTCCGGGGAAACCCTTTTTGTTAATTGAAAGGGACGACAAAGATTTTAAATAATAAATTTAGAATTTTCAATTTTAGAACAAAGTCTTACTATTTTTTGTTCATAGCGGTACACTTACGTAGGAAATTATTGCGATGCACTTATTTGATAGTACAAAAAATTGATTTGAATAATTTATTTTAAAACTGTGCTATTTCTCTGCTCAGTTGTAATAAAATTTGTAGGGAGGAATTGCATTTCAAAACAATAAATAAAATTAAAGGCAATTTCTTTGTATTAAGATCACAATATTCATTCAACATTCGAAGCTGTGTTTGGATTTGACGATAAGCTCGAAAAAAATTGCAGTAAAAAAGACTAAATCTCTAGCAGAAAACTAAAAGAAATCCAACTTCCGACTAGAAATTCGTATGCAAAAACACATACATAGTTATACACGCATACACATGCATTTGTGATTTGTGTAAACACCCGCAATTACTTGGTTATCGCACTATAGGCTGTCAAAGCGAAACCTGCCCCTCCAAAGTAGTAGCCAAGTAGCCAGTCTAGACAGTACAATTTAGCAGCTGATCGCTTACAAATATCTAACGGGAAGTGATAAGGAAAAGCAGAAATGTCTGAATTCTCATTTAGCTTTGTACGAAATTATGTATTTTAAGTGTGAACAAGGAAAGAACAATAATTTCTTTAACAACACCCTCAATAATTGGGATTGTACACAACATCAAAAAGTGTAAATTTCAACTTTCTCTTTAATAAATTACCGTTAGAAAGCAATAAACTTAAATTCAAATTGAAAAATATTTGAACGCAACGAAAATGGTCAAGAAAGACGACAGTTTCACAGCAGAGACGGTGGATAGCACCGATATGCTATTCGACCATCAAACTTACGATGCAAAAGACGATTTCAAAACAACCACCAGCGCAGATGGCCGGAAAGCAAGTGAATTCACGTCGACTGATCCGCTTTTGCCACAAACGAGACGTATGCCGCGCAGACGAATTATGTACTTAGAACTGCCGGTGTTTTTAATGTTTGTCGGTTTCTTATTAACCGGTTCGGTCATGCTCAATCAGGAACTGTATCAAACTTGTGTGGCCGTTTATCACTACAACGAGAGCGATTGTGAACCGCTGCGTGGTATCATTCCTAAAACTGCGGAAGCGAAGGTGAGTTTTTAGCAAATTAATATGGTATTAGATGATAATTTTGGTGAAGAAGTATTTGTCGAGATAACCCCTTCCGGTTCGTAAAATAATATTTTGAAAAATATTTAATAAAAGCATTGGTGGATGTTTTCTCGAAATATTTAACAATTGAATCGAATCAATCGAATGCAATACAATGATAATAATTCAACACTAGCGACTTCTAGCTCAGCTTCAGTTCGCTGTAACACTTTTAAAATTCTCCCAGTTTTCTTAAAACTTTCATAGAAACACGAAACCTCGGAAATTTGCTCACGTTCTTTTCTCAATTTATATATTATATAATTTATGGTAACGCCGATATCGAATCACAATTTAAATAAAGATCAACTATCATAGTAAAACCATAAAATTTTAATTTGAATTCCTCACGCATGTCTGACTATAAGTAATCTTGTTGTTGTAATTGAGATTCACCCCAGTTGTATCGAAACTACACTCATACGAATGACGGTGTTATTGTTTTTGAGTATTTGCCAGAATATGCTTGTCATTACTGATAAAATAGCAAAATGACTCAAGTAGTATTTATCTGCAGGCGAATTTTGTTTTTGTAAGCAAAATTTGATAAGAATTGATGTGCATTAAAATTGTATCAATGTTATCAGTTACAAAAAAAATACATTGGTTATTTGTAATATAATTTCAAATGAAAAGAGGGAAAAAGGAGAGCTTCTAATATGCAGGGCCGGATTTAAATTTTTGATGCCCTTGGGCACTGAAAAAATGCCGCCCCGTCACTGAAATTTCACTCAAAATAATTTAGATTTCATATTATGTTTTTAAAAAATTTAAATATTTAAAATATTGCAAATAATTTATTATATACATACTACTTCAGTATAATATAAAAAATATAGGTTCTTGTTCTTAAAACTACAAATTTTGCACTGAGCTTGACTAATAATTGTATTACAATAATTTTTTTCACAGGCAAACACGCCTGACTTTTTGAATTACAAATTGGTCGATTAATTCTTCACAATCTAAACGTTGAAGTACATCTGATTCGATGCATAGAATAGCTAAGCTGTTGAGTCAATTTGCACTCATTGTAGAACGTAAGTAGTTTTTAACTCTTCAAACAAGAAAACGAACGTTCTCTGCTACAGTTTGTTACAACTAAAGTAATAAACAGGCGATACGCAATTTGTGCAAAAGTTTCAGAATATCGGATGGTGAATTTTGTTCCATCTTTTTTTTTCAGTGCAATAAGCATGGAAGTGCACAAATTCGTCCTCCAATGAGGACTAAAGATCTAAAGAATAAACATTTTGTAAACGTTTAGCTCGGTTACGAATCTCTCTATTATCCAAATTGCCAAATTCAATAATAACTGAGAACTTTTCATGAATCTTTTCATATGCTACAAATCTTTTTCTCAATTCAGAATCTAGATTGTCAAGAATGACATTAAAAGTATTGACTCTAAAGTGGTCTCCACCTGACAGTTGTACATATCCATTCCGTGATTCATCAGCATGTAATTTTCTCTTTCTTTTTCTAGAAACTGTCATTTTTTTTAATGGTTTCATTTAGCTCACCCCGTTTGTTTTATTTATTATTTATTCTTGGGTCAAATTTAGTAATTCAAATTTCACCCTCTTGCTGTCAACCGATTAATCTGAAATTTTGTATACATTTTGGATTTTGGTGACAATACAATTATGTTTATTCATTGTCATTATAAATTCAACATGGCCGCCGCTACAAAATGGCGGATAACGTAGGTTTTATCAATCCCATCAACAAGGGTATCAAATGAAAGGTCTCAAGAAGTAGAATACAATTTACTATGCAAAATTGAAATCTAAGATGGCTAATGCTCCGGCCCTGGTGGGGATAGAGGGGAGGTTGAGGTCTTTCCTGAAAGCCCCAGGTGTGAACTAACTCGCAAACTAGTTTTTATGCACCACCCAATATTGACGTTTCAAAGGGCTCTATTTAGCTATAGGCTACATTAACGAAATCGTTTGGCCTCAATTTCGTCGAACTCAGATGTATGCAACAGATGTACCTTCTGTCCGAATTGATTTCGCAAGAGACAGAGTACATGTTATACACCCGAAAGCCATACAGTTTCCAGCTAAGGGCAATTATGGAACGGCTGAAAGAAGAATGTTGCCTTTAATACTATCATGGGCTTCTACAATACATAAAATGCAGGGCAGCACTGTGGATCACGCAGTCGTATACTTAGGTGCGAAACTGTTTGAAGAAGGTGAAGCCTACGTGGGTCTTAGTAGAGTAAGATCTTTGCAGGGACTACGTATAGAGAAGTTGGGCTGCAATAAACTAACGGGCAAGAAACTTTGCAATAATGAAGCACTAAATGAATTAAACATTCTTTTATCGCTTTTTAAGTCGATAATTTGTAGACAATTGACGTGCCCCACGGTTTTATTTTAGGCTAGTCTATGCATATGTTTCTAATTCCCACCACTGTATCTATTTTATTATTTTTTGGTTTTTAGTACATTTATCTTAAACATTTCAATGTATTTTTAACATAAAACCGTTTAACTTAAAACGTGTTTTTACCTATTTTTATATATTCTTTTATCTCTGAAATATTTAAAGCAGTTTTTTCATAGATTTCGAATTCATTTCTCGTATGAGCAACAACTTTGACTAAACCACGATAATAGTTCAATTTGTACGTACATGCTTTTGTGCTTTAATATGAAATACATATGTATATAGAAGATATACATACATATCTACATAAGTATATAATTTATATGCAGAGTCTTCGGCGCATTGTAGATATGCGAGTCTGTAAGCGTACATTCCTTAACATCGGAAATAGCATAATTTTCTCATTTAACACTGAAAATGCTCAGTTCTGTTATTTTCCTGCCCCTAATGTTATGTGGTGAAACACGCTCATCCAAAACAGTAAATATCGCAAAATTTAAACATCAAGAAATTTTCGACATCGTGAATCTTCTCTATAAATATACTTTCTCTGCTATTACTTTTATAAAATAATATCGATGTTTCACATCTGCCAGCTCACTTTTTTTTCTACTTTCCAAATTTTTGCGCCCTAGAAAATTTGCCGCCCGGGCACTAGCGCCGACTGTCCCTAGTGTAAATCCACCACTGTGGTATCCAGAGAGCAATCTATTATTGATTTATGCGAAAATGTTCTGGAAGATATTATATCTATAGGTAGGATATCTATTATCACAAAGGATTATCTATCATCACTATGGTCAGCTTCGATATCTTTCTAACTTATATGTGTTCATATAAAATCTAAGATATCAATTTGTAAATTCTTTATTTATACTCTCAAAATATTGCTAGAGAGCATAATAGTTTTGTTCACCTAACGGTTGTACGTATCATCTAAAACTGATCAAGATAGATATGGGGTTATATATGTATATAAATGATCAGGATGAGTAAAAATTGAGATATTGATTTGAAAATGTACATATCTCTTAATGCATTACCAAATTCGCCTTAATAATATGAGAACTCCTACCAACAGCATGGAAATGAAATCGAATGATAACCCCGCTCACTCCCCATTTAACGACACTGTTAAAAACTTCTTAAAGCGCGATAAAAAAAAAAAAACTAAATATGCGCGAAACATTAAATTTTACTCGAAGTGTATGACCGGGCGTTAATGGAGCAGATGTCAAATTTGGAGGATGGAAGTGGCACCAAATCTGAATGCAACCATAATGTTAAAGGCAATGGGAACACTATAGAGCCATGATTATAGACTTTTTCGTCCCTGTTCATGTGGACGACGTTTGTTTTCAACAAGACGACGCTTCATGTTATACAGCCAAAAAACAATAAATTCATTGAGGAAAATTTTTGGGTGAGCGCATTATTACGCGTCTTGGGGATATTTAATGGCATCTAAGAACGTGAAACATTGCAAGACAAATTTATGAGCTTTTCAAAAAAAAAATGATGTTTCAAAGAGATTGTGTAGTGCACTATTGATTGTTTTACCCATACTTTTTCAGTTAATGACAGACCGAGAAGTGGTTTTCCTAGCTTATTTCGAACTTGTTCTCAAAAATTTCCTTAAAACAAAAAATTATGTCCAGGGGTATGGAGAGATTAATGTCAAGACTTATTCGAGATGATCTCCACAAAAAAGCGTGCCATCGGTCAACTGAAATTGCTATCCAGCTCTCAAGTAATTGCTCAAGAAAAAAATACATTATTTCTTCAAGTAAAGAAAGAAAATAAACTTTGTGCGTAATATGTATGTATGTATGTATGTGTGTCGTAACATACATTTTTTCATTGCGATGTAAGGAATGTTGTTGATGATTGGTAAGCTTTATACAACTTCTCAAAAAGAAATATAATAATGAATTTAACTAATTTAGGATGAATTTAACGATTACTTTGAATTTAATTCAAGAAACAATTGTTGATTTGATGTTTCTTCGCAAAACCAGGTTTGCCATATTCGCATTTTATTGATGAAATGTATTAAAAATTAGTACTAGATTACTTTAGAGCTGCATACTAGCACAAGTAAATTTAGCGCAGGAAAGCGTTTTTTTATATGAAGTCTTTACATTTCTTGAGAGCTGGATACTAAGCTTTAAAAAGAAAGCTCATGCGAAAGGAAAGTTTCGTATAAAATTTTGTACATCTCATTAAATAAACATATATATTCTTAAATAAAAGTAGATTCATTAAAAAATATACTGAACTTTATAACATTACATAACATTTTAACATTTATGAAACATTATACAATCTAAACTTTATACTTTTCAGATAATCGAAAAAAGTGTACAACCTTATGTTGCCAAAATTACTATGACCAGCTCTATATTGAATAATGTATGGCCGGGAATTCTAGTACTATTTGTGGGACCCTGGTCGGATAAGTTCGGACGTCGACCAGTGCTGTTGGTCACATTTGTAGGTAAATACAAAAAAAAAAAAAAAAAGAAATAAAGTTAGCCATTTTGAAAAAAAAGTATGAAATAATTTAATTTAATTAAATAGCTACGTTTCTTGGACAGGTTATAACTACAATCTTAGTTAGCTTTTCACAAGTGTTATCGCTAAATCCCTGGTTCTATCTCTTGGCTAGTATACCATCAACGCTCGTTGGCGGCGTCTGCGTTTTGATAACAATTATCTTCTGTTATATATCCGATGTAAGCGATATGGAAAATACAGCAAAGCGGTAAGTAGACAAATTTTAAATGGAAATCTTATTATTTAGCAAATTTTTTTTATTATTTTAGAATGTTCTTTATGAACATGGCAATGGGTTTGGGTTTGGTATTTGGCAATATTGGTAGTAGCTACTTGTTGCGTCTAACAAATACCACAACAGTCTGCGCTATATCGGCTGCACTCGTATTCATCGCTTTGATGTATGTTTGGTTTTTCATTGGCGAGAGTTTAGACGTCGAAGAAACCACCTTTGCGGTAAGTAACAAAGGAATTTACTGGTTTCAAATGTTACACTAACTTCTTGCTTTATTTGTATTTTAGTATAAAGCAAAACACTTTTTTGATGTGCGTTTAATCGAGGATCTCGTGAAGACTTGTGTAACACGGCATCCGAATTATGGGCGAGCCATCATTGGTTGTACAATTTCAATTTTAATTGTTTCAAAATTCGCACTTAGTAAGTAGTAAATCCGTATTTTAAGTATACAAGGAAAATGCAGGGTTAAACAAATTTTAAATACAAAAATTATTGTATTATTCAAACTTGCAGCAGGAGAGATGGGCGTCTTTTATCTATTCTTGCGCAATAAATTCAACGTTACATTGCAAGAGTTTACCTACTACAATGCTGTTGACATCACAATAAAAATGATGGGTAGTGCGGTTGCCTTCGGTCTGTTCAGAAATGTAAATTATACGAACGAACGTTTTTATTGCACTTATAATAATAATTTTATTTTAGTTCTTAAAAATATCATTTTCGGCCATTGCTTTGATGGGGTTATTTGGTTGTATTTTGGACACTCTAACTCGTGGTTTAGCTCAGCAGTTCTGGCAAATGTATTTGGCAGCATCCTTTGGACTAATGTCCGGCATATTGGGGCCAATGCTGCAATCAATCGTTTCATTAGCAGTGTCACCAAATGAAATCGGTAAAAAATCACAGAAAACGTTAAAAATCAGAGAGATATTTTGACAGGTTATTCTACATATTTTTAGGCAAAATTTATTCTCTGGCATCATGTCTGCAAACACTTTCACCATTGCTTTCTGCGCCTCTATATACATTCGTCTACAATAATACGTTGGACATTTACCCTGGATTCTATAATTTTATCAGCACAGGATTACATGTAGAGTGCTTCTGCGTTATGATGTAAGTAAAATACTTTTTATAAGATGTACATATATGCAAGTACTAATACACTTTCATTATATCTGTTCTTCAAAATAGACTCATTTACATTTTCGAACTACGAGTGAAAAATGGAGAAACTAGTAGACCTCCAACGGATAGTACAACAACTAAAAATACATAAACAACTCAGATATTTAAAAATCTTTTTAGAACGTGACATATTAATTTGTAATTATTTTTCTTTTTTTTTATAATTTAAGTTTGAAAAATTTGGTTATTCAGAAAACAGCATTTGTATTAAAATAAATTGCATTTATGTATACCAGTATTGTAAAAAAATAAGTTACATATAGTATAACCAAAATATTTAAAAAATGATTATGCAAACAAATCGTTTGAATGTCAGAAAAATATAGAGCCAAATATTCATTTTTCAAATTTGGGTCTCTTGATAACATTTCATGATAACCACTGATTATTTTACTGACAATAAAGAGTGCTTTCTAAAATATGAAAGGTAAGTGCCTAAAACCTATTTATTTGCAAATAATAAACATAAACATTGGTATTGTTTTTTATACTACTCCACGTATGTATGTATGTATATATGCACGTACTTAATATGAATTTTATGTACACGTTTTAGGTCACAAAACTGACAATCTGCAGCGCTGACCTCTTGTGGATATGCTTTTGCATTCTAATAAGGAATACCAGCGCAACTGGTTAATTAAGATATAGTTAATCTACTTACATATTTGTTTTGATTAATTGATTTGCGCTTTGATTTCCTCTTTTCTTTCATTTGCACTTTAAACAATCCGTTCTAAAACCGCTTGTTACATGTACTTTGGCTTACTACATTCACAAACTACTTGTAATCATTAATACCTTATATCAGACAATTTACTTCTTAATACTTTAAAACTTAACATTTAAGCACTGCACATTATAAACTAAATCAATTACTTCATATTAACACTTTTAACTTTTCACAAAAGCAATCACACAAGAAAATTAAGAAGCGCGCCAATAACGGTACTCTAATATACCTGTATTTTCACATTCACATAAACGCTTGTGCACGCATTTCCCTACGAACAGCTGAAGGTCGGCGAACAGCTGACTTTTGACAACTGTCAACGTGCAAAATTCCCACTATTTTCGAGTTTGTTATTGGTTTTTCATTCTACTTAAATTAGCAAATTAAAACGCAAAACAAAGGAGGTAATTAAAAATAAAATCTTCCACAACGTAAAATCACTGTAAACAAAGGAATTTAGAATTTTTAATTTGTGAGTACAAAGAGAAATAAACATGAAATAGTTGAATATAATCTGCTAAGTAAAGATATATGGAAGTACAAATGGCCAATAGTAAGTAGCTGCGTCATCTTTAAAGTGGAAAACTTTCTCAAATTGTATAGTCGTATGAAATCATTGAAGCAAAAAAATTTCCGCTCAGTTTGCGCTTGGAAGTCGGTCGTGTCTAAAGTTATTGCAGCAGTTTAAATTATAATAATCAGCTTAAACAACAAAAGGGAACCGACTTCGACGGCAGACACTTAACGACGACAGAGTTTTATACAATTCGCCAAAGTGAATTCATAAATAACACCAAGTCAACAAATTAAAACAATGATATAATAAATTTATAGTATTTATCTACTTATAATAAATTTAAATAATTGAAAATAACAAAATCCAGTGACTAATCAAACGGGACATTAAATATACTGCCTTATTGTCGATTATGTGATAAAAAAATAATTGAAAGACAAAAATAAATACGTAATAAATAAATATATTATAAAAATGAATTCCGACGAGGAAAGCTTGTATGATCCTGAAGCGACTGAGGAAACGACTCAAGTACTAGATGCAACTGCAATTGGCGTGCGCAACAACGGCGACACACCGTCTACCGCAACTGCACATAGCAGTAAAGCAAGTAGTAGTCAAGACGAGGAAACGGCTAGTAAAGATGATGTACCAATTTCAAGCGACAACGCACTCTATGCAGCGCCCCGCAGACGTTGGTTTATATTAGAGCCCGCAGTGTTTTTGGTTTTTCTCGCTATGTATTTATCAGGTATTTTCATATTGCGATTTTATGCTTAAAGTTGTGCTATAAAAATGTATTTTTCTATTATTTAAGGGGCGGTATATCAAAACCAGGTTCTATATCAAACTTGTGTTGCTGTATACAAATATAACGAGAGTGATTGCCAGCCGCTGTTGGGTGTTAGCAGGGAAACAAAGGAGGCGGAGGTTAGTGAATTTCTATTGTTTGTCCTCTAATTACAATAATTGTAAAGTGTTGTAGCCTAAGATCGTTAACATGTTTTTATTCAGTTAGTCATGACTTAGACATTGCAATTTCTTAAGCTTTTTTTTTTGGAATTCTAAAGCTACCGTAAAAATGTGCTATAAATAAAAAAATTAAATATTATATTTAGAGAAAGAATGTTAAAGAAATACTCATTGATTATAGCTCTTAGCGCCATTACCGAGGGAGTAAGGTTAATTCGGATACAACAGTGCCCATTTCTTTTAAATTGTTTATGTACATTTTTTTTTTATCAATGGTACATTATTGTATGATATTTGAAGAATATTCTGTTAAAGTTTCATGGAGAGATATTGTAAAATGCAACAAAGGTAACAATTATTCTGGAGCGTCTCAGAAAAAAGTTCAAYTGCAGATCTCTTATCTGAAATAAAACAAGTTGAACTATGTCAGTTAATTTTGTTCACTTTTGAAAAATTGATGGAAAAAAGTGATTTTTACAACAAAAAAACAATATATTTGTTATTGTAAAATAAAAAATATTAAAATGAAATTAAAAAAAATTTGTGCTCAACATTTCAAACAAGCATGACACAAACTTCTTGCGATATTATGTATTCCTTTAAGATAAAATATTAATATAAATTTAGAAAAACCCTACTCTCCCTTAAATTGTATTCGAATTAAGCGCTCCACGCTGAGTTTAATTACACTTTGATATAAATATTCATATATACATATGTATGTACATAACTATATATGTATGTATATATGTATCATATTTGTAATTGCATAGATTAAATCCATTCACTCGGCGTAATGGTTTAATAAATTTACTATACATATAGTTTACAAGTGTCCACTTTAGTGACACATTTAAATAGATAAGCACTATGTAGGGCGTAGACAGATGCAATTTCTTATCACCACAAAAGTTGAAATTACGTAAAAAATAGAAATCCATAAGTCGTTAATTAGCAGTGATTTTGCATTAAAACCCAGTACAATGCATCTAACCTATAGATATATTTGTAGACATGTATAAAAGTGCATAGTGTTAATCGTTAGCTAATGCTATGAGTCGCACTTTTGTGAAATAGGTCAATGTATAATAAAAAACTATATTGTTAAAGATAAGTAGACAACTTTACGATGAACAAAAGCCATCAAATCGAAATAAATCAATGAAAAATGGCACCACAGCAATGAGTGCCTATAAAAAATTGTATACAAATAGAAAATTATACTATATCGTCACCTTCCTAAGTTTACAAGTGAAGGAAAAACGATATAATAGAAACAAAATGTGTGCTTTGGTTATGAAATGGTTATTTATTGGATATATCGAACATCGGAAGTCTAAAAGTTTATGATACATAAGTGTAATATGATCGTATATCGTAGGCAATAAAAAACTCAATCTCGATTTTTTTGAGGCTACTCTGTTTTGCATTTTACATGACGATATGCATATGCAAACGTTTTTTATAAATGTGCTAAATATTTACTCATATGTCTCCCAATACTTTGTTTAAATAAATAAACAKTTCTTAAAACACTTGATAGTCATATTTGCCCACTTAAATGAAAATATGCAGCCATAAACCTTTTTATTTGTATTTAATTATTTAAAAAAAGATGCATTTTCTGAGCTTTATTCGATTGACGCTGGAGTTCCGCGAGGTAGCGTCTTTGGCCCCGTGTTATATACAATATTTACAGCTGACCAACCGATCGCTAATGGCTTAGAGGTAGCAACTTATGCTGATGATAGCCAGGCAGCTTAGGCGGCATTTATAGCCACCAGTTTTAATCCTAGTGATGCTTCACTTCACTTACAAGAACAACTTAATATTGTCGAAAAGTGGCTAATGAAATGGAAGATAGAAGTAAATACACAGAAATCTGTTCAAATAACGTTTACGTTAAGGACTGAGAAATGTCCCCCGTAACGTTAAATGGCTCCATAATACCTGAAAGTGAAACTGTGAAATACCTTGGTCTTTATTTGGACAGACGACTCACTTGGAAGATACACATAAAAGAAAAAACGAAGCAACTCAAATTTAAAACTAAAAAACTGTACTGGCTTTTAGGTCAGCGATCACAACTTAGCCTTGAAAATAAAGTACGACTTTACAAGTCAATCCTTAAACCAGTATGGACGTTTTCAATGCAGTTATGGGGAGCGGCGAGTGTATCCAACATTGAAATCCCCCAAAGATATCAATCGAAAACTTTAAGAAGCATTGTAAGTGCTCCTTGGTATGTGAGCAACTTCGAAATCCACAAAGACTTAAATATACCTTTTGTTACAGACGAAATCAGCAAATCTTGTCAAAAGTATTTAGATAGATTGTCTTATCATGAAAACTTACTGGCTATAATTTTACTAGGCAACAGTATGGATGTTAGACGCTTAAAACGAACTCATATCTTGGATCTTTCATGTAGATTTTAAGAAGTTTAAGCAAATAAATAATTTACGAATATATTGATTAGTCTCAATGGAGAACAATTAATCCTGTCACTATTAATGTATTTAAAAAATTTGCTGATTGTCAATTGATAGATTGCAAGTAAATATATATTAAAAAAAAATAAATAAAAAATTATTTACATTATTAATTTATTTGCTATAGGAGATCGAAACTCGCGTCCAACCATACGTTGCGCGGATTCTGATGGCGCGCTCGCTCTTGGAAAGCATCATACCGGCGTTTGTTAGCTTATTTGTCGGTCCATGGTCGGATAAGTTTGGACGACGTCCAATTATACTGGCAACATATACGGGTAAGTTTAGCTTGATTTTCAAATGTATAATATTTTGTATAAATTTCTCATCAAATGTCTGCAATTTGTCCATTATGTTGTAATTATTTGTATACATATTGTATATTGGCAAAGATCCTATAAAAAATGTGTATAAATTATCAGCTTGACGAGTTTAGTGGGCTTAGCCATGTCCGTCTGTCGGCCTGTATATGCGCGAACGAGTCCCCCAGTTTTCGAGATATCGAACTCACATTTTACACGCCTACTTTTCGACCCTAAAAAACTGTTCATTTAGGGTGTCTAGTCCCCGTTAGGAAGGTATGCTTAGGAAAAGTTGTCAACATAGAGAGAGGGATGTCAGATGTATAGGATTAGTTGGGCATGCAAAGACGTAGTTAGTATCCAGCGGGAACTCGTTGCAAGCTGGTTATATATGTTATATGTCGTGGTCGATTCTAGATAAGTAGGAGTTTAATCTGCTACAGTTTACCGAACGAAGCTGCGCAAGGCTCACTCTCGATTCTCGCGGCAAACAGAGCTCGTCGTCTGCAATGGGTGGTGGTTTGACTCCAAGTACGCCAATCACTGAGAGGGAGTTGGTAAAGGAGTTTGTAGATCCACTGTAAACGGCAGTCTTTTCTGCGAATTGTTTTATATTGTCAACATAGTTGAGGAAAGATCTCTTGATGGTCATAGGAGGCGGTTCCGCTTGGACTGCTTGGAAATACTTCATAATACACCTTAACGGGAAGCATACGGGCCTCACTGTGCAAATATTCAATGGGGAGACGTCAAAAGGCGACCATATTGGTACGGTGTATGTTGCCAACATTCGTTGTTCTTTTCTGGGAAGCGCCGATATCAGACTACTATAGCATATATCGCTGCCAAACAAAATGATCGATCAAAATCAAGTAATTTACTAAAAACTCTGTTAC